AGATAAAATTCTGCCTAGGAAATACAGGGATTAAAGTTAAAAAAGAAGCAAACCATGTACTCAATATTCTTTAACTCTGATTCTGTTAAAATCCATTTGCTTGGATTCTTCTTCTTTCACATTTTAGGAAGAAAAGAAGATTCTCTTCTATCACCCAAATGAAGTAGAAAAGAATGAAAAAATTAGAAATGTGGGGCTATGTGAAGCTATAGTGCAATTCACGAGGTAAGAAGTCTGATTGCATGGCTTGTTGTGTTGGCACAAGCACTGTATTTTAAATCTCTCAGTCATATGTCTTCTTGCTGTGAGTGTGTATAAATACCTGTGTCCACACATATGTTTTCTTTCCAGGACCTTTAGTCCAACAAAACCAGCAAAATCCCTACATACACAGAAGAACAGACAATTTTTCCACGAACCTGAAGAAAACTTCTGGATGGTCATGGTACTTATGCCTGTGATCTGCATGTTCCTAAAGCACCATCCTGCAATGTTCTCCATGCATTCTGCATTGTCTAATACCAGCCTGTTCCACTTCCTAGGTTGTACGGAATCCCATCATAGAAAAACACAAAGATGGAAAGCCAGTCTATGAATATCAGGAAGAAGAATTGCTGGTAAGACTGAACTTTCCTTTTTTTTTTTTTATTTTAAATGGGTTATATTGTATTTTAAGGGTACTTCCAGAAATATCTTAGTTTGATTCTTCTTGAACTGCTGTCAAATTGATTTTTCTATATATCCATATCTATCTCCATAAATGGAAAGAGGGCAAAGTATTTTCAATCAAGTTTAAAGAAGAGTACAAGATAGAGAATTACCCAGAGAACAGTTCAAGATCATCCAATAAGCATCAGCAAAATATGCAGCTATGAGACTTTAGCATGGAATAGGTGAATATTTCTAGCTTGGAATAGGTGAATATTTCTTAGGATCTGTTTGTTTAATGAAGTTCTTGCAAGATTTTAAGTCTACATTTTTTTATTAGGTTTAAGTATGCATATTACTACTTTCTTAAGACTGCTAGTAATATTTACTAATAATCTGGAAAAAGAAACAGCTCATAACTATCCTGGGATTTCTTGTCCGAACTGCAGTATCATTAGATCTGTTTAATCATATACAGGAAGGGTATTTGGCCAGGTGGGGTAATATTTAAAAAGCTGGTTTGTTACCCCTGCCCGTGTTCATTACAGTGTGCTCTACTTCTGTTCCTGATTGTGTCCTGACAAAAGGATGGGTGTCATAGGGACTCTATTTTGCCAATTAATAGTCTTTTTGCATCTGGGTTAAGATCTTAGCCCCAAAAAGCCTGCTATGGTGTCCCACCTCCTTCAGCCTTTGACCTGGATGAAGAGAGAGCTGCCAGAAGCAGGTTCATGTTCACTGGCTGCTGGCCTCAGAGAAAGGCACTATTTGTGATTGGAATCTTGGGCATGAGTTTGTAAGGTGCTTTTGGTACTAAATGTGAGGGGGGAAGGGACTCCCATTATTGAAATTGTACTTTATGAGTACAAAGACATTTCTAAATGCTGACTGAAAATGCTATTTAACTTTTCAGAGATTGATTTCTCTAAATTGTGTCTTTGCTGGCTCTTTGAAAACATACATTACGTGTAGCTCAGCCAAAATACTTGTAATTCTGCCTCTGCTTCACTGATGTGCTGCTCTCTTTCCTGCAGGACAAGGTCTACAGCTCGGTCCTGCAGCAGTGCTACAGCATGTACAAGGTACAGTTAATACCAGAGGCTCCTCTTTGGGAAGGGAAGAAGATCCTCATGGTACCTTTGGATGTGCAAGCTCATCATTACTTTGGCATTCTCATCTCATCACTGTTATCTGCTCTCTTCCTGCAGCTGAAATGGAGTTAATGGAAGAGAAAAATATAGCTCTGTGCTGGTTCAATAGCTTATTGTAATAATAAAAGCCTTCTAATTTTTGTAAAGTCCAAGTTTCATGGGCAGTTACACTAATAAGTGTTTGATTTTGATGGTGTTAGCTATTATCTGTTTGATGCCTGGTTCAAGGCCTTTTACGAAACAAGAGCATAAGACACTTAAATGACACATAAATATTCTGCCTCTGCTGCCGTATCTACCTGGACTCTGCAAATCTGAGATATTTTTTCAATAACGAAGGGGTACATTCGGATTGATGTGGAGTACAAAATACTGAGGAATGGGAGGTGTATTGTAATCTAGCTATATTCATGGCCAAGTTACAAAAAATTATTGTAAATGATTGCCCAACTAACTGATTTTTTTTCTTTTAACTGTTAGCTTTTCAATGGCACGTTCCTGAAGGCCATGGAAGATGGAGGTGTGAAAGGTCTAAAGGAGAGACTAGAGAAATTCTTCCATCGGGTAAGACCTTATTTTTCAGGCACATAAAGTGTGAGTCTGCATTGGAAATAAGATGTAAAAATCTTCTGTAAGTGGCAGCAGTGTGACTATAAAACATAGGCAGTGGAAAATGTGTGGTGGCAACACAAAGTATCTGGGTACTCATTTTGTCAAATACTTGCTGCTTCTACCAGCACAGTAGGTTCTTCAAGTGGAGTTGAACCACAAAGCATGGATCTGGCTTGATGGAACAGCTTAGCTGTTGGATATTTTACCTAACAGAATCTTCTTCATTCTTTGGAAATTCTGTTTTGGTGTTTGAATTGGTTACTATGATACCAGTTCTGAGTTTTATTTGAGTAACTATTTGAGTTACTGTTGCAGAATCATTGCCTTTGGAAGGAACCTGGGAAGGTCATCCAGTTCAGCCTCCTACTCAAAGCAGGGTAACACTGTATTTAAACTCTTCTGCCCAGGGCTTTGGATGGTTGAGTTTTAAAAAGATCCAGGGGTGGAGATTCCACACCCTGCATGCACAGGGTGAAGCCGTGAATAGTTCAAATTTTTAAGTTCTTCCCCCTACCACACCCACAGGTGGAATTAGTAGTCATGCCTGAGAAAGTCAGAGGAAATATTGTCTTCATTATAACTAGTCTTCAGAATGTAATTTCAAAGCTGATGATTCAGTGAAAGAATGAAAAGCAAAATCTATTTCTGAGCAAGAAATCAAATATTATTCATGTATTTTTCACACTAAGTAACTGACTGAATAGTCTGGCAGAATTTTGAGTTCCTACATGAAAAGTTTCATCAAACTTTAAAAGGTGGCAGCCAAGTGCCTGCCTGCCCCCATTTTTCTTGTTTGCACAGAAGGGAACAGGACTGCTGTCAGCAGTTAGTGCTCTTGTGGTAGAGATGTGAATCTTGAGATCCCTGATAAGAATGGAGTGTAGACACTGCATAATGGTGTTTAAAATTTTGTTCTCCTAACAGATTTTTTAAATAACAGAATGTTGTGACAGTGTAAACAAGTACAAGCTTTGCTTGTGGATTGGAGAGGGTCTTGTTTTGTGTGTTTGTAGGACTTGTTGTAGGCTTTAGAATAAACACCACTGGCACAAGGGGTACTTTAATGAGCTGATGTGTGCTTCTGTCTATTAAAAATAGACCATGGCAAAAAAGAAAGTAATGTATTTTTATCTTTAAAACATTGTTTTTCTTTGATGCTCCTACTGAAGATAAAACAGTAATTTCTATAGATTTGTATAATAGAAAGAAACCCAATGAAAAGTTTCTCTTTTTCATCAGGAAATTAGAAGAGCTTAAAAAATGTAGTCATGCAAATTGTCTGTTATAAGCCTATTGAACAAGTTAGCAACATGTTGCTGGCAGGCTTGGACTGCACTGAAACTCTGAAAAGAAATAAGACTTAGATTACAAACTGACAGAGATCTGTCACACTGTAATTATTACTTGTGCGTTTTTGGTGATGTGAAATGACTGTAGAGGGAGCCATTGGATAACACATCTTTCACAGAGCACTTGATAGTGCATTAGAAATCTCTTGGTTAAGGTTACACTCTATCAAGAAAGAGAACAACAGAAAATATCTCTTCCTTTGCACATTGAAAGCTAATTGTCTGCTCCCAAGACAAGCAGAACTGGAAGGATTTTCTTTGTTATTCCAGATTATTGGTGATTAGACTCAAATTTGTCATTTAAATCTATACATTGGGAGTTTTCTGAATTCTAAAAGCCACCTATCACTGTTCTCTCAGTACTTGCAGACACTGCACTTACAGTCTTGTGATCTGCTGGATGTGTTTTGTGGAATCAGCTTCTTCCCACTGGATAAAATGACTTACTTGAAAATTCAGTCGTTTATTAATAGGATGGAAGAAAGCCTGAACATAGTCAAGTATACTGCATTCCTCTACAATGACCAGCTTATCTGGTAGGTACTTCAGGAATTCTTTTGTGTGTCTTCAACTTCTCATCCTATAAATAAATGTCAAAATAGAAAAGCTTTTGAATCAGTGAAAGAGTTGGATGAAAATGAGAAAACATGAGTCATGCTACCATTCAGTAGAAAAGCCATTGGTCTGAGCTTTAAAATCTCTACCCTGTACCAAATTATTACTTCCTGGGGAGCAGCTGGAGAAGTGTCCTTGTTATCTCCATCACAAGAGCCTCTGTGAATATACACAAGTTCCTCCATAGGAATTTTTAGTAGTGAAGGTAATTAAATTAAGGATTGTTCTTCATGTCGTTCTGTACTAGAAGTTGCAATGCTTGTGAAGAGTTCTACTTAAAACTGGATTTAAGAATAGCAAACTGGATCTTTGTTTAAGTACCATTTTATTTCTTTTCTGGTTTATGGCTAAGTTACATGTGTTTTGCATTTAGCAAATAAACTAACATTTTAATAGAAATTAATGTCCTGGGATTTACTCTACTGAGACATTGAAATGTTGCTGCCCTGGTTTATTATGTGCTCTGCCCGAGTTTTGGTTGGAGGAAAATGCATGATTTGAACTGCAGCACAAACATCATTTGTGGTTTTTGTCTAGGAGTGGACTGGAGCAAGATGACATGAGAATTTTGTACAAATATCTCACAACATCTCTGTTTCCAAGGCACATGGAGCCTGAGGTATGATAGTTGGGTTGGGGTTTTTTGGGGTGTGAAAGTGGTTGGTTTGGGTTTTGTGTTTGTTATTTTTTCTTTTCTCCCTGTTTACCTGATCCTACTAAGGGCTAAAATACCAAGGAGAAATATCTCTCTTCTCTCTGCCTCTAAGCTGGTTTTTCTTGTGTGTCCTTTTTTGCTTCAGTTAGCGGGAAGGGATTCTCCAATCCGTGCTGAAATGCCGGGAAATCTGCAGCACTATGGAAGGTGGGTCCTGTTTTACTGTCCCCATCTGCTGCTTCTTCCCTCAAGGGCAAAACCCCTGGGAGAAGTATGTGTATTTTGAGTACATACCCACACACAGTTCATTCCAGAGAGTTGCACAGTAGGTGGTGCAATGTGAAATCTAACCTCTGGAAAAAAGAGAAAATGCTTCATTAACATAACTTCACATTTATTTTTCTTCCCGTTGTTCTTAATGCACTGCCTGACAAATTTGGGAATTGCTCCAGTCATTTCTTTTCAGTCAGGCACTCCAGACAAAGATGTAGATTTAATCTAGGATTTACCAATTACTTCTCCTCTGTACTCAGCATCAGGGTGGGGAATTCTGCACTTAAGCAGCCGGGCAACATAATTTTGAGTAATTGTGGGTTTGGACATCCTTCATCATGAGAATTCCTCTTCCTTGATTTATTGTCTTCCTTTGGGATCAAGACACTGGCACACACTCCCTGTCTATGCCCCTCTCCCAAGTTTAGGTGCTTCTAGTACACCACTTTCTACATCAAACTAGTCTGGATGTACTGTTGGACAGGAAAGGAAGGGGGCTTCCCCATAGCAACAAAAAAGGGGTTTTAAAGATACTCACAAATTGAAGGTGGAAAGAATTTTGTTGCTGTTTCTTTGATGATATGCACAGTTTTTCCTTAGCATTGTTCTGCCTTTCTGATGCTGTTTCTGTAACTCTTTGAGGCATATTTGCAAATAATCCTTAAAAAATGTAGGAGTGTTGAGATAATATACAAAGGGCTCTATGCCTGTGTGGATAGCTGAAAACTCACTGTATTCAAATCTATTCATACATGCAAGTAATTGTTAGTTTGGAGAACACCTGTTAAACTGGAGAAACTGAAATACAGGAATTCATCTCACCTGACCTGTTGAATTATTTTCTAGGTTTCTTACTGGACCTTTAAATCTTAATGATCCAGAAACAAAATGCCGTTTCCCCAAAATATTTGTTAACACTGATGACACTTACGAGGAGCTTCATTTAATTGTTTATAAGGTATTACAGTTTTCTCTGCAATTCCTCCACAGAATTAGGAATCTCTGTACAATTAAGACAGTGATGTGAAGTACTTAAGAATGTATGGAAAGGTGCACAGATATGACCAGGTTAAAGCAAAGAGACAGAAAAATAACATTTCTGGCAACTAACTTTAAAGCCTGAATCCTCTTTCCCCCCTCTCTTGTACCCTCTCCAAAACAAGCAGCTGTTTTATTAAAACAAAGTAACAGCCTTCAGTTGCTTTAAGTGATTTCATACCTGGCTTTAGTAGCATTAATCAATAAAATAATTTTTTTTTACATTAAATTCAAGTTTCTTGAAGCTATCTTTGCATAAATGCATTTTTACCAAATTTTACCTTTCCCCTACAACTTAAACTGTTAACTGGGCTGATTTTAAAATCATAGCTTGACTATGTTGTGTAGGGTTGCAAAGAGATTATCGTGTTGAAATGCTGCCTTTCAAGTAGATTTTTTTAATTTCTTCTTTAATTTAACTGCTTCACCTGTGTGTGACCTCACTGAAATATTGTCATTTATTTGAGGTAGTTGAGGTAACCTGTTGTAAATGGTTTTTCTGCTTTAACTTTTTTTGTTCCAGGCCATGAGTGCAGCTGTCTGCTTTATGATTGATGGTAAGTACCTGTCAGCATCACTTCTTTGGCGAGACGTAGTTAGTACAAAATACTTTCACGTGCAGCTTGTTTTACTCTTGATAAATACTCACATTAATTTGTTATTTCAGTCTCTTTTTCATGAGTGCTTTTAACAGCCTGCTCCAGTGGTATAAGTAACTCAATTTATGCACTAAATACTGCTTCAGTGAACCACTATCAAAATCACCCATAAGGTTGTAATTATGAGAAAAATTTGTCCTTGGACTCATACTGATGTTTAAAGAAAACAACTACAGACACTGTACCTTCAGCTGTGGGAAGGGAATCCCATCTCTGCCCTTTCTTTCCCTGGCACAGCTTCGATCCCGCCCACGCTGGAGTTCTGCCGGAAGCTGGACAGCATCGTTGGGCCTCAGCTCACCGTGCTGGCATCAGACATTTGTGAACAATACAACATCAACAAGAGAATATCGGGGTTTGTACCACACTTCCTGCTGCATTTCCTCATTACATGGTGAAAAGTTAGGTTTAATGAACTGCTTAAATAACAATATGAGCCCAGCTTTTGAAAGCATTGAGTTAACTGTGCACTTAGAACAATGTTTGTCTACCTTTCTGCACCCTAAGTGTTTATAAAGTGCATGTCCTTGTATGCTTAGGTCTCCTTGAAGAAAGAGCATAGATGTTACTAATTTAGGAACAAGTGTTTATTATGTGGCTGAAATATTTTTCCTCCGTGTGCATAATTGCTGCAGAGAAAATAATGTAAATACTAAGGCAAATATGACCATTACCAATTGACATTCTGCCTCCTCCTGCCCCAGCTGTCAGCAAATCATTCAGGTGCAAGAGGTAGAACTTCTTTCATATGTGCACTGAAACAAAATGACGAGTCTTCTGACACCTCTCCCCCATGTTGAGGTAGAGAAGTAGCAGTTCCCTCAAAATTTTAACTTCAGTTTATACTGTCTAGCTTTTCTTGAGGAAAACAGAATCTCATAATGTCCACAAATAGCCCTCTGGCCAGTAGAACATTTAAGTCTAAAAAATAAATTAAAAATATCACTGTCTTTGCCCACGTCCTCCTTCGTGCAGATTTCCTTTGACTTCTGCTTTCCCAGGCTGCTGTTCTGTGTAATGTTCAATTTTCACATCAAGTGGTCACTGACTGCTGGCTCTGAGCATTGCCTTAGAAACAAGGCTTGGACAGTGTAATTCTTCATTCAGTTACAAATCCAAAAGCAAAATGAAGGTTTAGATACCAGAACAACTCCTGTTTAACAATTTCAAATGGGGATTTTAGTGAGTGGATTATTTGGTTACAACAGAAGCTTTACAGTTGAGGACTTGACTTGCCATAAAATTGTATTTATTTTTCAATAGACGTGTTAGTTGGGGAAGCAAGAACAGTATCATATATGGTAACAAAGGAGGAATTCAACCAAAGATAGTTGTGGGAGTGAACTCATTCAGTGGTAGCTTCCCAAATCAGCAAAATCGCACGGGATAGAGTAGGATGTGCTTGAAGTTGTGCCAATCTACTAAATCATTAAACTTGGGGTTTTTAAATGTCATCTGGGACTGGCTTTGGCAGCTTTAACTCTTTAAAAGTTTAATGCCATGGTGTCCTGAAAACATGATCCAGTTTCTTGACACTGATGCATGTGGGTGACGGAGAGCAGGGGTATCTGGTTGTTTGCTGAGGTGAGTGGTGTCATCACAGTATCTCCCTGGTCCTTAATAATGCATTGCCTCAAGTACCAATTGCTGTAGCCAGTTTTTGCATATCTGAATTTTTTGTGGCTTCTACCAAAACTACAGCTCTAAGTGACAGTTTTTATATTAAGTACATAAAAGTGGAAATGGAGGAACACTGCCAAGGCTTTGAAAATAGTCTCTTGCTTGGCCCACACAAATGCTGGGGGCAAATCTAATTGCCTGGATCAGGGAAGAGTTTGTTCTCTGAGTTGTAACAAATAACAAAGACATGAATGGAAGATGACTTACTGATCAAAGTAAAGACCGAGCAGCCATTCAAATCTGAGGGGACTGGCCTAGGGGAGAGCAGCAAGGGAACAAAATGGGGACAGAGCAAAACCAGCTCATTAGAAAAATGCAAATGAATTTCTACTGTGAAGGGGGGGACAAGGCCTTTAGACTCCCCTGTGTCTGTTTACTGGCAGCCTAAGCAGCAGAAGGGGAAACACTGGCTGGTTCTGCAGGCTCGTTTGTATTTTGTTTTGTTCTTTTAAAGTGTGTTAAAATGAAGTGCAATCCCACAAGTCTTAAAACACTTGGGTCTTTTCAATGCAAAGATGACTTCAGGCTGTCTGAGTAAGCTTTGCACTGGCTCACTAGCCATTCTCTGTGAAGCCTGTGGTTATAGAACATGTCAGTATTCACAAATCACTTTTTTTTTCTTTTTAAATCTTCCTAGGGCTGAGAAGGAACCTCAGTTTAAGTTTATCTATTTCAATCACATGAACCTGGCAGAGAAAAGTACCATTCACATGAGGAAAACACCCAGTGTATCACTTGCATCTGTTCACCCTGACCTCATGAAGATTCTCGGTGACATCAACAGTGACTTCTCCAGGTAATGCTTAACTATTAAATAGTCTGTGACTCCTACTGTCAATTAGATTTTTTTTCCAAATGACTGAAACTTTCCAGCCTTTTTTGTTGATGTCTGGCTGTTCATGTTTGGTATTTTGTGTTGGTTTAGTAGTAGTCCATCTTAAACAGAATTTCTAGTGTCCTTTTAAAAGAATAACTTAGAAGAGGGCCAGGGTCTCTATCCAAGAAAATATCTAATCTGTTGGAGGCCTCAGAGCAGTCATAACAAATGGGATGGGAAGCACTAAAGTCTGGCTAATCTGGGGAAGTAGTATAAAGGACAGGGAAACTTGCTTGTGCCTGTGTCATCCTTGCCCCTGCCACAGCTGGGGGCTGCTGGGGTGAGACAATGGATGGAATGTGGACCTTGCAGTTACTGCAGTCCTGAGGGAGAAGAAAAGTGGCTTCTTGTCAATGGGTATCAAGACTGAAGGTGGGAGAGACCCTCTGTCATAATAAAGAACATGAAAATGTTGAATGACTGTGATGCCCATAACTCTAATTAACAACTAGCAATTTTCCCACTCTGCTTAAGGACAAGGTTTTCATTTTTCTATGAATGAGAAAAGAATGTTTCATCATATTATGGAAGTACTGGGTTAGTGACAGCTTTATAGAACGTATCTAACTGTTGAGCTTGGTTTAGGTCTAGGTTTAGGAATTAGTTCTGTGAAAGCTCAGCATCACCAAACCATAGCAAATGATCATTCTGTCAAGTGTGTCTTTACCAGAACAGAGGAGAGGTGTTTTCTTCAGAGCACTGGAGGGTTTGGAATATGGACAAATTAATGATTTACACATTTGGGGATGTCTTAAGCAGCCATTAATGAAGCCTTTGACTGCTGAATGATGGCTGAGTTAGAATTGGTGTTCTCTTTGTACTGCACAACCACAACAACTTATGACAGGGAACTGTCCTAATGATTACAGACAAATTGTTGAAAATGAACTTGCTGCCACCTTCTTTACTTCCTAAAATTTCTTTCAGAGTTGACGAAGATGAAGAAATTATCGTGAAGGCAATGAGTGATTACTGGGTAGTTGGGAAGAAGTCTGACCAGAGAGAACTGTATGTTATTTTGAATCAAAAAAATGTAAATCTGATTGAAGTTAACGGTAAGGATTGTTTTTTATGATATCTAAATACAGTTACTACTAAAATGTATGTCCCTAGGGAAGTAATAAAATCCATCTCATGAGAAATGTAGAGAGTGATTGATCTTTGATAGACCAGGTGAATTGGCCTAAGGTTTTAGTCTGCCTTCTATCAGCTGTGAAAGAACAGCATAAATATTCAGCAGACATTCTTAATTATTAATCAGTCATTATTCCTCCTTCAAATAATAGAGGAGAGCTCTATGAGCTTAGTTTAGGAGTAATTAATACAGTATATGACAGGTGAGAGATGAACATATTTACATCTGAGTTGGGTTTTATTTGTCAGTGATCCAGGGCTAGGTTACTTACACATGATATCTGTCTGTCTGTCCTGTCAGGGATCCTCATCCCATTGCTGTCTTGTTTCTAATGTGGTTTTCAGAATGATTTACTGTGACTAAGAGTGCAAATGAACATTAAGATGCAATAACTTTTAAATTGCTATTTCTCCTAAAGTCTTTGAATCTTGCTTGCACCAATTTTAGGGCTCTCTGTCTTAACAGGAGGAATGTGCTCACTTAGACAATGGGAAAGAATTAATAATTTCCAGGACCAAAGCCTAGCAACCTACACTTTAAAAAGAGAAATGAGTTGCATGACGTAGAAATCTTTGTGTAATTGTCTTTCAGCACCAAACCTGCCACACAGAAACAGTAAATGAGTGTTTCTGTGCCTGATAAACTTAGAAAGTATTGTCTATCAAATAGCACAAAGCAAAAGTTTTGCTGACTTGATTTATTGTACAGACTACCCTAATTCCTCCTCTCTCTGAAGAAGGGGTTATAATGTACTTCCTTAGGTTGAAGCCAAGTCTGCTGCTGTTGCAGTGTAAGTTTGCCAAGATGAGTGGCCCATCATTTACACTTCACCTTTCAGACAGGGGGAGATGCCAGACTTGACGTGACTTTCTCCTACTGAAGACAGAGTAACAATAAGTGTATTTCTACATTAGAAACTCATAGGGTTTTTTCTGTTTGAATTTAATTATATTCTCTGTGATGATCCCCAGGGTTTCTCTTGAGGAGGTTTCTGTAAAAATGTCATACTGAAGTATCTTTTTTTTTTTTTTTAACAGAAGAAGTGAAGAAACTTTGTGCAACACAGTTTAATAATATTTTCTTCTTGGATTGATCTGCAAAGGGTTGATTTATTGAAGATGTCAATGTCAGGCACTTGTTCAACATGAGAAGTTATTAGTCATATTATTGACTGGAATAATGACAATAGTAAAGCAATACTTGCTTTGTAAGAATCAAAATTTCTACTAAAATCTGTAAACTGACCATAAAATTTTTAAATTTTAAAAATGTTTATGTGCAAGCTAATTAAAAACCGGTCTGAATTCATCTGTACCATTCCATTCTGATATGTTATGTGAATATTTTGCTGGAAAATAAAGCTAATAATTGTTACACTTTTAAGGGCATCTTTTTGTTTTCCTGTGTTCATTTGCATCATTGCGTGACTATCTGATAGTTTAGTGCAATGTAACTTTCCCAAGACCCTGGTGCAAAACAGAGTTTCCCTCTGAAATCAATTCTTGTGCATACAGTCTTATAATTTTTACAGCTCCCTACAAGTGTTGTTGTTCTGGTGTTGCTTTGGTTTGTTTTTTTTTTTAATTTCTATTTGAAGAGAACTTG